CCCCCCCCCCCCCCCCCCCCCCCCCCCCCCCCCCCCCCCCCCCCCCCCCCCCCCCCCCCCCCCCCCCCCCCCCCCCCTAGTACAGAAACACATGCGGGTAAAAGAAGGCGACCCCTGTCCGGGAAAGCTCTGTGGATATGCAGACGTCTAATCTGGCGTGCTTCTATGCTGATCCCCGATGGTGGTCAAAAGCCACTAAATCGCGGATGATCCATTCCCAATGATTTTCATGGTCGTGATCGCCTCGGTCGAATCCAACCCATTTGTCAACCTTGCGTCTCCACTTATCTTCCTCCGCCCGCTGTCGTCGAATGAATTCTGGGCCGACATCAAATTCCTCGGTCATAGGTCCTTCATCAGAGGATTCACCGGCACTTGCGTCATCCCCAACTGCTGGAAATTGCTCCTCAATGGCTCCGGAATTTCGTCCATTGATGGTGCTGCTGGTAATTTTGTCATCCAAGTCGTCCAAACCAGCAAACACGTCGTCTTCGTCTGCACCAGCTCCAAGAGACGCCCTGAGCCAACACATACGATGTGGATCGAAGACCATGCCACCAACGGTCTGGACATTCTGCATCGCGCCAACATTGGCGATGAGAGCCGGTGCAGGTTTGGGTGATTTGGGAGCAGCGACATCAAATTCTTGAACTAGATTTTCGTTCCCTTCCCACCGGAAATTGGTAGGATTGTAACGCATACCCCTCACGGCTGAAAACGGTTAATAAGATTGCGCAAATCGTGTAAATAGAGATCAGGGGTCTTGCTTACATTTGGCATCCTGCACCCCGGATCCCATGGGCTTGATCAAGTGTGGCTTGGACGTTGGTCTGGCATTCGGTTTACCTTTCCGGCTTCTAACCGTCGCAGAGGCCGGAGGAATCCTTGAGACAGGTTGGGACTTCCAGTTTGAGTTGAACGTCGAAAGAGCATTTGGTTCACGGCCTTTCGAATTAATAGCCATGGATGCAATGCGTTGTTCCCTCGCATTTCTGGATGCATTTGTATCTCGCGCAAACCTAGGGGTCGGACTGCGCAATTTGGAGTTTGGTGGGGACGTTAAAGATTGAGTAGGTGATTCATCACGTGGCAGATCAATCCGGCTCTGGCTGAGTCTGGCGCGGACCAACCTTGGAGCACCTCGACCAGTGGGGGTTTTGACGAACCTGCTCTCTGCCAAGACCGATGTAGATAGGTCATCAAATGACTCTAACTCCGTTCCGTCCCCGAAATTGCGTCTTTTAGTGGGTCGTGTGATTGTACGTTTTGTAGAGGAACCGAGAGAGTTTGCGCTTGTGTCGCTAAACCCAGCACGGAACGGCTCATTGCGAGTTGGCCGGGAGAGTCGAGAAGCCGTGCTCTGCGGACTAAGAAGCCCGCCGGAGCTATCTGAATTTGTGCGACGTGACGAGCGATACCCCTTCACACTGACATGATGTGATTGGGATTCCGATACACCAGCCGGCATAAATGGTACCTGTGGCCTGCGACTCAGCGACCTCGCATCAGTTGCGGGGTGATCAACCGGTGTTTTAGGTCTGGTCGAGGGAAGGCGGACTGGACGATCGACCGGTGGTCGCTGGGAAGCGGCCACTGAAGCGGTCGAGCTTAAGCCACGAATCGATGGCAGGGATCGCTTGGTCTTTAAACGCCTAACTGATGGGTTACCCTCAGGGGCCGGGGCAACGTCCCGGAAATTGCGAGACCCAAGAAGCCATCGAGCAGAGAGTGTAGGGGCTGGTGATGGATTAACGATAGGGGCTGGGAGACTTGAAGTTGACGATTGAGACGAATGCCCTAGACGCGATTGTGATGTTCGAAATTTGGAAAGAGGCGCCCCACTTTCGGACACAGTCTCAAGGTGGGTTGAATGGGTCCGATCATGACCAGACAAGCGTGGAATACGAGTCCGTGGAGATCCTGCCGCACTGGTGAACGTGAGTGTTGTTGCAGATCGACGAGTCGGGCTGGATGGCCGTTCTGTTTTGCACTTTATGTTGGGATTCAGAGCAGGTTTTCCAAAGGAAAATGCCTTCTCATTGTCGATATCAAGGCCAGAGAAGAAGTCGTCGGCGTCAGAACAAACATGGCCCACCTGACTCTCTTCCGCTTCAATATTCTCAGCTTGCGCAGCCTGTCGCTTTTGCAGAGAAGCATTGAAATCAAGGGGACCTTCGGGGATGATGATACCGTCCAGGCCATCGTCTTCACTTTCCGCGGTGAGACAGCTTGAAACGCTGGGGCTGGCGATAGAGATAGAAGAACTGGGAACTGAACGACCATCCCTTGCGGTACCACCAACTCGTACACCGATACTCCCTTCAGACCACTCAATATCAAAGTCCTCTAAAGTGGGACTGGAAACGTAAAAATTATCTTTTCGATGGGATAATTCAAGTGGTTGATGATTGGCGGGAAGTTCAAAATCCTGGTTGAAATCGTCGTCTGCTTCCCGTTCAACACCGAAGCCACTGCCGACATCGTCGATGTTCAATTTCTTCGGAGATCGAGGAGTTGGGGCTTTGAGAGTTGGGATACGAGCTTCTGGGCTACCATTGTCGTCTTGAAAGGTGTCAAATGGTTCCAAGGGAGATTGCAAACGCGTCGAGAATTCGTCATCCCAAGATGGCGAGGCAGTGAATTTCACTGGACTAGTAGCAGCGGAGCTCAAATGTCGAAGAGAGTCAGGAAATATGGTTTCCCGAGGAGTTCTGAGATGTAACAGGGTTTCAGGACCTGGGAGCTCGACGTCTTCTGACCAGTCGTCAACAAAAGTTTGCTTGGTCTTTCGAATTGATAACCGCTTGATCGTGCCCCCAATAAGAGCTGACTTGGGGATATCTGGAGGAATGGGAATGCCCGCAGTCTTGGCCGAAGCAATAGCATCTTCTTTTGCAAATTCATCATTGTCGTAGAGCGGTACCTGCCAGTCTTCATCGCCCGCATTAGAGTCAATATCTGAGCGAGCAGAGCGTCGAGAGGAAATAGAATCTCGGTGCCCAGAGGGCCGAAATGACGAGTTCGTTATGGAGCCAGCGCTGGATGCGGTGCGAAATTGAATATCCTCGCTGAACTGCAGGTCGTCGTCATCATCCCAGCATTCAATGAGCTCGTCGGTACCCGGTCGTAGGTGGATTGGTAAAGATTCCATGATCAGCGAAGCGAATTGATTAAAGGTGTACGAAGAACACGAAGGTCATGGGATGATTACAGGCGTCCGGAGGCAGTTGTTATTAAGTGGCAGACTCAGTGCTTTGCGACACTGGTGAGGGTTCAGGGGGTGCGAACATGAGCGTCATTCCGCGTCGGTTGGTAGGAATGGAAGATAGGAGCAAGTGAGAAGCACGGCTTCTCTGTTGATCGCAGAGTGGCAAGTGAGTTCAGATATCGCAAAGTGGGTTGTTAGAATTATCAGCCCAATAGAGGCCGGCCTTGCTCTAGAGCCGATTTCGCCGAATGAGACCAAGCGGGTTCACTAGGCGACCTGATAAATGGCAGGCCTTCATCCATAAACATTCATTAAAAGAGGACAGTTAAGCATTAGGGACACCCCAGGACATTTGGTTCTGGCCGCTGGATCAAAGGAACTCAATTGCAAAAGCGAAGAGGAGACAGGGGAAAGAAAGGTGTTGTCGGTTGTGGCTGGACCTTCAGATTCCTCGTGGAGAAGAACGTGACAGGCCCCGTACTGGTATTGTATCTAGGTAATCAGGTTACCGGAGATTCGGTGGAGCCTGCATACTTCGAAGAGTGCATTACGTGTATGAGAACAAGAATTCCACGTAATTAACAGAACATTCACGTTGAGGCCATATGTATTTACCGGCTGGGGGTATTTATAGTATGTAATTATCTATAAGACCAATTTAAAAAACCGCTATTGGTAATTTTAAGTACTCCGTATGTGGAGACAGGTACGGTGGTCATATCCACTTGAGCTCTGTTGCCTGGATGACTTGCAGTACCTAACTAACTACTACCATACATTTACTCCGTAGGCAATAACACACCCAATATGCCATCTCCTGTCTCGACGGATCCTCGAGTCTTGCGGTTTCCCAGGTCTGACGAGACTGGGTCTTTTGTACTCGTCCATGTCTCATGTACCGGCCCTGCTCGGCTCGATCTGAGCCTGACGGCTACCGAGGGGGAATCGCCCTATGTTAGCCTGGGTGGGTTGTCATAGAATGAAATCTGGAAGTCATGAGCTCATGTCGCGTAGTGAAACAATCACGCTTGAATGATCTTCAAGCAAAGAATTACCAAGGATCAGATGATGAATGGGTTAAAACAGTCTCTCTCATTCTGGGACAATGTTCTGCCCCTGATGAGCCGGATTGGGCCACTGGTCTCGAAGCTTCGGCCAGTATATCAGGCTCTGATGAAGACAAGGAAATTGTGATCACGATACGGAAGCGAGTCCAGACTATCACAGTTCGTGTTCTACGCCGGCGGATTCTATATATAGCCATACTAACACTAATATAGCAACGCCTGGGTGCTTTTACCCTCAAGCAAGACGATGAACAAGCCGTCGAACTTTTTGAATGGACAGGAATCACAGCGGCTAGAGCTCAGATGCTAGAGCAACAAGTATCCAGCATGACCGGCCGCTATCGTCTTGCCGAAGATACCATACATAGGTTGAATGAACAGCTCGAGGAGCTCATGCATGCGAAGACCGAGCATGAGAATCGATTGGTGGCCAATTTTGTGCAGGTCTTGAACGAGAAAAAGCTCAAAATTCGCAACCAGCAACGTCTTCTGGCATCGGCTACTGTGGATTCAACCAAAGGTAGGTGGCACAAACAGAGAAACCTGGATATATTGACTAAGTATCGACAGTCTCCGAGATACAGGCTAGCATTCCCGGAGAGTCAGATAGAGCCGCCGAGAGATCTCATTCAGCAAAGAGAAGTGCTCGCAAGATGAGCGATACTGACGACTCTGATGGATTCGAACAAATGGATATTGACCCAATAAAAACCAATCTAGATGCCTTCAATACTCAAGATACGGACGAAGAGCATTCGACTCCTCATCCTTCGGACGGCGAACAGAACAGTAGCACGACAGACGACGATTCGTCTCAGGATGAATCTGCCCAGCTGAAGCGAGTTTCCCCAGCAAGAGACACAGCGCCGCCTCAAAGAGATTTGCCATTTGCTAAAAGGTCTGGCGGGCCTATTAAGACTGCTCCAGCCCAACCCAGCAAAGATGCCGAGGAGACTGCGGGAGAGACGGATGATGATGAGCTCTAAACTGGCCACTTGGAACAAGTCAGATAAAGTAGTTCAAAAGATCAAGATATAGTTCCATCTTATGTGCAGAAGTGCAGAAAAGCACCCAATCGACACAGGAGACACCTTGGGTCTGTAGATATACCCAAGCAATATTGACTCCCTGATACATGGATCTGGTCTTGGCTTTCATTCCTTCTCCCTGTCCGGATATTCCTTTCTTTTCGCCAAGTCGGTTTCTCCTAGTATAATTTCACTTCTTCTGTCATTTCAAAGCTGCTACGCATAAAACTACAGAAGTAGCACATATTCATCATCTCCGACGCCCATGGACTCGAAATTTTGGGGGTTCAGTCTTTATGTACAAGGTAACCACTACCGATTAATCCCAGGCGACACCGGAGAATGGCGAAGAGGTCAACAGGAACCGGAGAGGTGTTCAAGATGATAGGGAAAAACACAGAGGATGGAAAGGAAACAGTACATCAAGAGGGAAATTTAAGATGTGGTACAATAAAAACGCCTGCAAACATTAGAGAAACACAGAATGAGGTCAAGATAGACCCCGATCTAACCATACAAGGCCTGAGGAGACATTTCTCCTGCGGCCATGAAATTGGTCTCAGGGTTTCCAGTGGCCTTGGCAGCGGAGGCGCGGGCCATGGTGGGCGAACTAGAGCAGGGTTAGCAATGCAAATCGATTAACAAACAGGGTACTCACCTTCTGGAGATAGCGTCAGTGAAGAAGAAGTCTTCAATCACCTTCTTGAAAGGAGCCCCAGTAGCTTGAGATCCCTTATTTTGGTCCACAAGCTGGACCTTGCTCAACGAGACAACCGAGGTCGGCTCAACAACGTCGTAGCGACGCATGACAGGGCTGATCTCTTCCATGCGGTCGCGGAGAGCCTCAATATCGTCATAAGGAAGAGGAGCGCCGAGGAATTCGCTAGTGGCACGGATAATCTTCCAGTCATCACGAGCTGCACCGGGGAGGGAAGTGGCAGCACGGGTAACTTGCACACGACCTTCTGTGTTGATGTATGTACCTGACTTCTCGGTGTATGCAGCGCCCGGGAGAACAACATCAGCAAGTTGAGCACCGCGATCACCGTGGTGTCCCTGGTAGACGACAAACGCATCCTTCGGGATCTCGCTTTGGGCGATCTCATCTGCGCCCAAAAGCCAGACCATCTTGGGGGTAGTCTGAGCAACCTGGGAAGATGGTGTGGTGAAGCCAACTTCATAGGCACCAGCCCGAGACGCCGCACGCTGGAGGACATTGTAGCCCTGCCATTCCGGGGTAATAAAGTTGCTCGCATGCTTCTCAACGAAACCACCGACAGCCTCGAAGATTGCTTTAGCATCAGGGTGTTCTGCAGCAGCGCTACCGACGATAATCATTGGCCGTTTGGCTCCGGCAAGCTTCTTGCCAAATTCTCCGGACAAAGCGGATTTCAAGGAAGAGACATCAGCGCCCAGATGGTTGAAGTCAAATGTGCTCTCAAATTCCTCGCCGACAAGTCCAACCTCGAGATCAGATCTAATATACTGCTTGCGGATACGGGCATTCAGAACTGCAGCTTCATGACGAGGGTTTGTCGCAACCAAAAGGATTGCATCTGCCTCCTCGATTCCATAGATCTTGGAATTGAACAGGTAATTGGAGCGCACATCGATACCGTGAGCAATAGGGGCACCACCTCCAGGTTGATCCAGGGCAAGATTGTCAGAGCCAAGCTTGTTTGCCAGGTCCTTCATGGCAACGAGCGACTCAGTATCAACCAAGTGTCCAGCAATAGCCTTGAACTCATTGGCCTGTGGCTGCAACTTCTTGTGGGCCGATGAGATCTCCGTTAGAGCCTGTTCCCAGGTGGCAGGAACGAATTTGCCCTCCCGACGGATGAGTGGCGTTGTGAGCCGTTGGGTCTTCAACCCATCGCATGCGAATCGCGACTTGTCGTTGATCCATTCCTCGTTAACATCGTCATTCAATCGCGGGACAACCCGCATCACTTCCAGGCCTCTGCTATCAATCCGGATGTTAGAGCCAAGGGCATCAAGGACGTCGATCGATTCGGTGTGCTTGAGCTCCCATGGACGTGCACGGAAAGCATAGGGCTTCGAAGTTAGTGCACCGACAGGGCAAAGGTCAATGATATTGCCTGAGAGTTCTGAATTGAGGTTCTGCTCGAGGTAGGTTCCAATCTGCATGTCGTTTCCGCGACCGGCAGTTCCTAGTTCTGGGGCACCGGCGACGTCATTCATGAATCGGACACAACGAGTGCAATGAATGCACCGATTCATTGAGGTCTTGACCAGTGGGCCGATGTTCTTATCCTCCACGGCACGTTTTCCACCGGTTTCATGGAATCGACCTCGATCGGCACCGTAACGCATCGACTGGTCTTGGAGATCACACTCTCCTCCTTGGTCGCAGACCGGACAATCGAGCGGATGGTTGGAGAGAAGGAACTCCATGACACCCTCTCTTGCCTTGTGAACCAGTGGTGAGTTCGTCTTCACCACCATACCGGGTTGTACCGGCCAAGCACATGATGCCACCGGCTTTGGGGCACGCTCGACTTCGACAAGGCACATACGACCTATAGTTTCTGTAAGTACACATGCCTCAATGGCGTGGCACGGGGTATTGTCAATTTCACATACAATTTCCTGCAACCAAAAGTTTTCTTAAGGGACTGGTGTTAGCAAAAGCAATGTGTGAGACTCGATCAGAGGCACATACTCGTGGTAACAATATCTGGTGCATGTTAGTACTGCAAGCAAATCGGGCTGGTGGAGTTTGTCATACCTGGGAACCGTTGCGCCTGCCTGCTCACAGGCCTGGATAAGGGCCGAGCCAGCTTTTGGGAGAGAATGTGAGTGAAGATTCAATAAGTTATCTCGAGGCAGTATTTACCTTCTACCGACACCTTTTTGCCATCTAGAGAAACAAGCTATCAGTTATCGATCAACTTAGATGGATTAGATAAAGATTGGACTTACCAATGGTGAGTTCCACCTGGGCCGCGCGAGGGGCTGTCGTCGCGAATGCCCGGGGAGTGACCTTAGGAACCCGGAGGGACCGGGCGGCCGCACGAAACAGCTGCGGCCGCATCATTAGGAGGAGAACAGAGATGTGAGGGTGGGAGATAAGGTGGAGGAGGGCGAGGGGGTGAGAGCCTGGGTACGGTTGGAAGTTCAGAGAGCACTTTGCATCGGAATCTGCAGTTACATAATGTGCTGACCATCACTTTGCTGACTAACCTTGGAAGGACAACGGCAAATGGACTCGCGGGGATTGGCTCGATTGACTCGGTTATGCGGATAAACTTCCGCTCCGGGTTTCCTTATAAGCCACCGTTTCACCCCCTTTCTCCCTTTCCTTTCCCCAATTAAATTGTTAACGGGCATCATTTATTGTAGGAGGCAGGCAATTTCCCTGTTCCTATTTCCTCTACAGCATGTCCCAAGAGCAGAATTGCACCGTAGCTGGAGCTGTCAAGGGTTCGCCTAATGATGACTTTGTTCCTTACCAACGGTAGCTACATCCTCCTGATATATAATTTTTGTACGCCGTACATTTAAGTACCATCCTTCTATTTATTCTAAATTTGCTCATGATATTCCTTTATCGCATCTGGTGAAATTTCCGGTTGTAATTAGGACTAGTTATGCCGCAGCCAAATTACATCATGACTTATATGCTCTGCGTATCCTAGGCAGGGAAAAGGATAGTCACGTCAAAGCTCTTCCGAGCAACACCTCGCTACCATGATATTGTACACCGAACTAATAAAATACAAATGCTAAGTTGCAGCTTGAGAATCACTAACCTGCCAAGTGGATTCTTGTTTGGTGCCTGGTAACCAAGCACGAGAAAGACTGGCCCCTCTTGGTCGAACATGCCCAGGCCCATCGTCTTCCTTCTTGGAGTTGTTTGGTGCAGCATGGGAGTTGAGAGCACTTTCAAAAACCCTCCCCGCGGGGAAGGCATAACCATTGGAATCCCATGGCTTGCTTGGGTGCCGCACATTCATTGGAAGAATGGACTGTTCGGCACGGAAATGATCCGTGTTTGCCCTTTGATCAGCTACATCATCATGGCTATTGCGATCGTAAAGGTAGAGGCCCACGAAAGTGAGGCCAATGCCAAATGCTTGAATCGAGGTGGTCGAGCTCCCAAACCACAGAACCGCTACCACAATCACAAACACACGTTTGACCAATGATGCAACCGAATAGGACACAGGAGATACCATTGACAGCAACACAAAAGCCAGGATGTTTTGGGCAAAGTGTGAGACTCCGTTGAACAAAAACTCCATAGAAAGAGCACCGTGGTCCAATGAGCCTTGCTTACCCGATAGCGATATCACACCATCATGAATGAAATCAGATACTAGTGGGTAACCCTCAGTGACAAACCAAATAGGCAGAGTGAGGAAAAAAGCCAGCCCGGAGCAATAACAAAGCAAGTTGAGTTTATCCAACTTTCGCTGCCCCGGGGTTTGTAGATCTGATTCTGCACGGTCTACCTCGTTGAATAGCTTCTTCGAGAATATGTTCTGCGAGACAAACACGATAGCTGCACCAAATGCGCAGAAGATACCGAAGAAATTTGTAGACACTCCGGTCGAGCATGCAAGCATTACACCCAGAGTCAGAGGGATCAGCGATAAATAGGTTGCCCGGGCGTATCGAATGCGAAACAGGATCCGGTATGCTAGAACCGTAAAGAGAGGTGAAAGGCCCTTGATAGTGTGGACTAGAGATACAGGGATTTGTGCAGTGGCCATAGAGCTCAGAATGTGACCGGCCAATTGAAATACTGCCAGGGGCAATGCTGTGGAAATCACGTCGCGAGATGGGTAGCGAATTCCATGTTGGAGGATTGGGATACTTTGTCGCAACCGAGGTATAACTGTGGAGAGATACACCAATAGCAAACACCAGAAGGAGACGAATGCAAATTGAATCATCGTCAATGTGATCGGCATCGGAAGAGCGTTCAATATCGA